ATTCTGTGTTGCAATTGAAATCAATATATTTGAAAATGTAGAAAAACAAAATATGTAATGAATTTCAATTGGTATTCTATTGTTTAACAGTGTGATTAAAACTGTGATTAATCACAGTTAATTTTTAAATCACAATTAATTTTTTTGAGTTAATCGTATCAGTTAACTGTGATTAATCAACAGCCCTAAGCAAAACACATGAGGCAGGCATCTAAAACAGAGGATTCTCTGTACCACCTGTGAACCTCAGTCCACCCCAAGCAGTAAACCATCTCTAGCTGTGTCTGATTTCTGATGCTTCAGAGGAAGGTGACCCCCAGCCACCTGCCAGATTACAAATGTGCATCAAGAATAAAAAATCACCCTGACCCCTACAGACAACCACTTGAAGCCCTGAAGCATGAGATTAGATTATAGTCACTACAGAACTACAAGTGTTCTGTAGTGACTATAATCTAATTGCTTATGTTGCCCTCCACCTGAGCAGGTGGAGGGCAACATAAGCAATCCCTTTCTTCCCAAAGCCCATGGAAGAAGGGAATTAAAAGGGGGACCCATAGATTCATAGACTCCGGGGCCAGAAGGGACTACCTCGAGCATCCAGCTGACTCCCTGCATACACAGGCCATAGAGCCTCTCACACAAAATGGATTAAAGCATATATTTCAGAAAAATATCTAATCTTATTATTATCTATTTATAATTAGAAAAATATCTAATCCTGTCTTAGAGACCCCATGTGATGATGAGTCTACCACCTTCCCAGTTAAACTGTTCCAATGTTTAAACACCCTCATAATTTTTCAAGGTTGAATTTTTTCAACTTCAACTTCCATCCCATGGGATCTTGTAATGTCTTTGTTGCCAAGATTGAAAAGCTCCTTACTATCAGATATCTTTTCATTTGTATGCACCTATGCACAATGATCAAATCACCTCTCAAGCTCCTTTTTTGAATAAATTGAGCTACTTATGCCTCACATCATAAGGCTTGTTTTCCAGACATTGACCATCCTTTGAACTCTCTCCAGTATTTCCATATCCTCCCTGAAGTGAGGACACAGAACTGGACACACTGTTCTTGTAGTGGTCTTACCAATGCTGTGTTCATAGGCAAGATCACTTCCTTACATCTACTTGACGTTCCTCTTTTTGTACATCACAGCATTGCACTGAGAGCTCATGTAGAAGCAATTATCATTATGAACCCTTTTTCTGAGTCACTGCTTTCCAAGACACAGTCTCCCATCTTGTAGGTTTAACCTACAGATGCTCCCCGACTTACACAAGCATTCCGCTACGGAACTTTTTGCGTAAGTCGGGAACGTATACCTGACAATTACGCAAAAAAAAAAAGTTTACGGAAATTACGGAACTTTTTCCATAAGTGCAGATTTGCGTAAATCGGGTTTGCATAACCCGGGGAGCTTCTGTACATTATTTATTCCCAGATGTATTATCTTGCATTTGTCTGTATTACAACAAATTTTATTGGATTGTGACCATTTAACTAGGTGATTAGATCAATCTGTAACAATAACCTGCCTTCCTCATTATTTACTACCCCACCAGTCTTTGTGTCATCTCCAGACTTTATCAAAGGTTTCATAACATTGTCTGGATTATTAATAAAAATATTAAATAGCAGTGGATCAAGAGCTGATCCCTGGGGGACCCTACTAGAAATGTATATCTCTCCATTAACAACTACATGTCAAGATCTGTCTGTAAACCAGTTCATAATCAAGCCAATGGGTGTGTGCCCTGTTAATTCCAGACAATGCAAGTTTTTTAATAAAAATGTCATGTGGTACTAGGTCAAACGCCATGGAGAAATCCAAGTACAGTATATTATAACAACACAGATACTTTTATCAACCAGGCTTTTAATCCTGTCAAAAAAAAAAAAGGCAACAGGTTTGCTTGACAAAAGCTACCTTCCATGAAACCATGGCAACTAGCATTAATCATATTTTAGCCTCTAATTATTTATTGATAGAGTCCCAAATTAACCATTCCATTATTTTACCTGGGATCCACATTAAGCTAATTGCTCTACAGTTCCCTAGATCATTACTTTTAAAATATTGGAACTACATTGACAACCACCATGGGAAGGGGTATGAAGGAACAAGAGTAGCCAACAGGGAAAATGCTAGTGTCATATTACATCCGATCTTATAGTAGAACGTTCTCCTGGGTTACAGCCAGCCCCTTCCCTCCGTCCTGTATGGGGATACAGTGTCATGGTGTTCCTTATTTTTAAAATTCTACATTAGGGATCCTAATGTTCAAATAACACATGCAGCATATTTCATTAATTATTTTTGCATTTTGCCATTTTACTTATTTTAATTACTGTTTTAATGTGTAGGGGTTGGTTTCCAAGGGATATGGGAGCCAGTTCAGAGGGTTGTAATGTCTCCCTGCCCATGTGTGGGAGCTGGTTCAAGCATACCAGTAACCAATTTGTGTCAGTATGTGTCTCACTTCTCTCCATTCAGGAGGGCTAGCACTAGGAGGATGCTCCGGGAAGATATAAGGCATATACACATTGAATAGGACCAAGATGTCAGCGCTGAAAAGATAGTAACTGTATCATGGTTCTGCAATAATAATGATTACAAACAAATTTGATATTGTGTATAGGAGGCCCCAGTGAAATTGGGATGTTTCCCATAACATAAAAATATTAAAGAGAAAACATGACAAAAACTTATCAGAAGAGATTTCATGATATTACAACTTCTATTTTAGAGATGTGAAAGGTTTTAGATAAATCTCCACCTGGCAAAATAAATACTTACTTCACAAACTACTTAATAATGTCTTGAGCAATATAAAGTCCAATTCACTGATGTGCTGAGTGTCTACAATTGCCACTGATTTTAATGAAAGTTAAGGATGCCCGGCACCTGGCAGGACATAATTAGCTCCTCAAACAAAATTGGCATATGACAGTACTTAAGCAGAACACTTTGACAGCACACTCTTAGTCTGTCCATCAACTTTCATCAGACACAACATTTAGAGAAAAAATTCTCTGTTCTGTGGTATCTCTCTATCGGTGTAATAAATACAATTATTTCAAATATTTTGGATTTGCCTTTCTCTTAATTCATTTCTAGACAATTAACTGTCATCACAGATTGATGGATTTTTGTGATTTGCCTTCTAATTTATTTTTTGCTTAAAAGGGAACTAATTATTTTTACAAAATTCCCTCAACTGTAAAAATCGTGTAAAATCATCTGCAGTAACTGTTTTAGAGAGAAGCAGTTCAGTGCTTTTTTAGTTTAAAATAAACTTTTTTCCTTAGGTTCTACATTGTCCAGCCCTACTCAGATCATCAACTTCTACTACTTGAAGCCCTACCTCAGAGGTTCTCATACTTGAAGATCTAATGCACCTCATTCAGTGGCCTGTGTGGCCTCAGAACATCTGACAGATTCTAGGCCTGAACAATATCATTTTATACATCAGTGGGGGTGCTGCAACAATTTTTATAGTGGGGATGTTGAGAGCCATTGAACCAAACTTTAAACCCTGCATATAATGGAAACCACTTCAAGCCAGGGGGTGTGGCAGCACCCCCCACACCTCTTGTTCCAGCACCTATGTACATGTCTCTTAATCTATATTAAGTACCAAGTAGTATTTATAAAGTGTAAACACGTTTTAAAACACTTCTCATTTTCCCAGTCTAGATAAGCCCTACAACTGAAAAATACTTGGTGTTCCAATTTTGTAGCTTTAATTAGTGTAATTACAATGAATTCTTATTCTGATAGAATACTTTTAATCATCATCCATATTACAGTTTGAGAATTGCTTCCCTAAGAAATAATATACTGGTGATTCTTTATTCCTGGGCCTGGAACTAACCTGAAGAGATCAGGTAAATGCTTCTTTTGCAATAGAGTATATATAGGTTCACCTCTTTAAAATATTTTCATCATCCTATTACAGTGTCAGTCAAGTTTGTCCTATGAAAACACAGATAGGTTGCAATCAGAAGTTTGCAAAATCACAGACTAGTTGAAAATAGACTACGTTTAATAGTCTACTGCAGTGTTTCTCTACCTTTTTGATAGCACAGACTGGCTTGCTGCCTTCCTAAACTGTGTTAGGGAGATCTCAGGGACTGGCCCCAGTCCACAGACTGGTCATTGAGAAACATTGGTCTAGTGGACTTCTGGGTTTGTAATGGTATCACTTGCCACCAGCTGAGGTGTTACATTGGAGCAGAAGTTGCCTTTCTAATGAGACTGCCTGTCATGAAATCAGTTTTAAATAATGTGTTGAATGCCCTTGTTATCCTAGGAATTGGGGAGCAGTTAGCGCATTTTGCTACAATTGAGAGAATTATGTAAACATGATTTATAGGTCATCCTTGATAGTTATGATTTGAGATTGTTTGGTGAAGAGAATATTCATCCATTTCCCTGTATGTAATATTTGATCAGCGTTTACTCATTTCTCTTTCTACAGTTTAGGAAGAGCAGTCTTCTAGTGGGAATTCTAGGCTGCAGTACTATCTTTGAACTCATGCTTTGCAGAACTGTTCCTGAGCTTTTCACAGACAAGGACATTAATCTCTTGTTATGGATTGGTGGACATATTACCCACCAAAAATAAATTAACAGTAACATTTTTCTTTCTACTGGAGTACTATTTTTTAAAAATGTGAAAAGTGAGAATTTTACAAAGCTTTGGTTCTTGATGTTCATAGAAGAATTATAACATCAGATCTCATTCAAATCATTCTCTCATCATTTAGAACTTCATTGACTCCAGGACTGCAAGTATTTGATGACTGTCTTTATATTATAGCTGATTAATTTAAAAACTGAAAGAAATAGCTGTGGTGTATGACCTTTAGCTTATTCAGAGCAGACCATTTTCAAAAACAAATTAATGCCATGAAAAATACATAACTAGAAATGTTATTTAAATGGATTACTGCAAATGTAATTTTTTTGCTTTATTTTCACTTTTAGTGCAGAGAAAAAAACAGATGTCGTTTGAAGGATTTTTAAGATACATGAACTCAAAAGACTGTTTGATATATAAAAGAGAACACACAATTGTTTACCAAAATATGAGCCACCCATTACGTGATTATTTTATTTCGTCTTCCCATAACACCTACCTCATATCTGACCAACTAATAGGGCCAAGTCACCTTTGGGGTTATTCAAGGTATTTAAATACTTTTTTTTAATTGTAAGCAAATTATTTTACTAAGTGACTTAAGCTACAATTTATTGAGTCTTTCACAAATGTGTGTTTAGTAATGAGGAATACAAGATTTTATTTAAGACAATGATGAAAACTAGAATAATATTATTTGAATATGACCGAGTGAAATTTTATTTGGTGTGTACACATTTTGGTATATTTGCCACTCCATCTGTTTACACTCTAAAAACTATCCAAACCAAAGTTTTTCATTGGCCTCACATATACTACAAATAAAGACATCTGCAGGACATTGTTCTGTACGTTACTACATTGCAGTGTTTAATCTCCACATCACTGAAGATATATAATTAATCTTTCATTAATTCAAACAAATATGTGATCAAACTCTGGATGCAGCTGAGGTGATGAGGGGCCCATCTCTATGCAGGTCTATGTCTTGGTGTACACAGGAAGAACAGTTCTAGTCTACACCAGCTGGTTATGTCACCCAAATGAGCCGTTCACCAGCTAGAGATTGACAGGATGTTCTGGCCATGCCTCCCCACCACCTCCCAAGCTGGAGTCTGGACGGGAGTGCAGAAGCCAGGTACATTGGCTGGGGACTCCAGCATGCCCAGGGTGGGTGCATGTGAGTATGCATGCATGCATGTGTGCTTATGCAAGGGAACGTAGTGGGCACAGTAAAGTGGGGAAAATATGTGCACATGCAGGGGAATGGAGAGGAGAGGAGAGGGAAGATTTAGGGTGAGACGGTATGCTGGGGAATGTGGGAGATGCAGGAGGAAGGAAAATATGGGATGAATGAGCACAGGGGAATGTGGAGGAAGGAAGAAGCAGGAATTTGTTTTGTAACTGTGCAGGGGAATGTGGTGGGTTCAGGAAGAAGAGAAAACTGGAATGAGGAAGAGAAGGAAGGGGGAAATTGGGGTTTGTAAAGCAGAATGTAGGGAGACAGGAATTTGGAAGACAGGAGTCCAACACTCCAGTTTCTTTGCATTGCTCTGGTGAAACAAAGCAGCTGTAAACACAACTTAGATGACCAGTTTTCTTGGGCTGCTTTGCACTGCTCCAGAATGGGGTAAGCAATCAGAACATACTTGTGATTCTGGATCTAAAAGTTAAATGTTAAAAAACTATTTAAGGTAGATGCTACATAACTTCAAATCATTAGAAATATCACATGGCAGCATTTTCTTTCAGTTTCTTACCTAGTATTCATGTATGAATTTTTATTTTAATTAAATAAGGAAATTCCTAGACAAAAATCACATTAAGATGGAGTTAAGTTTGAGAAGACTTATCAGTACTTTACAGTAAAATACATTACATGGATGGTGTGATTATCCCCAAATCAAAAATTATAAACCAAAGAAATTCAGATTTATGGTTAAACTTAAAAGAAATCCAGACATATTAAGATATGGAAATGCACAGTTAGGGCACCCAAACAACCTTTCCTCTCCCTTGCAGTGAAACCATGAGGGGACAAAAATCTAATGTATTTACAAATTAGTTTAATCTAATGTAGACCACAAAATCTAAAATGCCTTAATCAGAATCATATGGTTATTGTATGGCATTGCTATAGACCAGGGGTCGGCAACCTCTGGCACACAGCTCGCCAGGGTAAGCACCCTGGCGGGCCGGGCCAGTTTGTTTACCTGCCGCGTCGGCAGGTTCGGCCGATCGCGGCTCCCACTGGCCACGGTTTGCCGTCCCAGGCCAATGGGGGCGATGGGAAGCCGTAGCCAGCACATCCCTCGCCCGC